CTGCTGATGGTGCGCTGCCGCCGCCGTTTCGGTGGGCACGCGACCCGCAGCTCGGCACGCACCTGAGCTTTGTGCCGGTGTCGACGGCGCAGCCGCGCGGGTTTGGTGGACCGTGGGGAGCGATGCTGAGCAACGCGACGTGGGTGCGCAACTCGACGAATCCGTCCACCGTCCTGGAGCTGGCCGTGCCCGTGCACCGCGGTTACTTCATTGCTGCCTACGAGACGATAGTCATTCGCTGCGACGCTGCGGCGGTGTCCGGCGGCTGCAAGGGTGTGCTGCTTGGGTCCTTCACGATCAGGTCTGACACGCTGCCCGCCGCTGCCAGCGTCCTCTCGGCGATCACCGGCGTCGTTGCGGGTGCGGCGGCTGTTGCCGTGGTGATGAGCGGCGGGCTGGGCTCCATCCTGGAGATGCAGGCACTCGGCGTGTTTGCGAGGATGTCATGCGCCTCGGCGCAGGAGCGTGCGAGCACCGTTGCGCTGCCGTACTTCCTGTCGCTGTTCGCTGCCCTTGACCCGCTGTGGATGGTGGTGGGCAACGCGCTGCTCGCCGCTGTGTTTGGGTGCGTGCACTGCGGTGTGACGGCGGCCTTTCAGCGGTGGCGCGGCGTGGACGCTGCGAGTGCGTGGGCGGCGATGCGCTTCCCGAGCCTGACGTACGTCGTGGCGCACGCGATGCACCTCGGCATATTCTTTGGCTCCGTGCTTTCACTGGCGATGCCCGGCGCCCGCGTGCTGCACCGCGTGATCGGTGTCGTTGGCGTGCTGTACGGTGTGGCGTTCCCCACTGGCGTGTGCTACTTGATTGCCCGCCACACGGGCGCGAGCTTCGAGAGGTACTGGCAGTTTTCTAGGAAGCCGCTGCCCGAGCGCCTGCTGTACCCCGTCGGGTATTGGCACCCCGCGGCGCAGCAGCGGATGTACGGCGGCATGCTGACGAACATGAGGGGCAGCCACGTGTACTGGTGCGTGTTCCAGCTGTCGGTGCTGTGTGTGGTGTGCCTGATTGCTGCTGTGCACCCGCCCCTGGGAGGCTGCCACGTTCAGTACTTCTGCATGGCGGCTGTGCTGCTTGTGGGTGCGGGCGTGGTTGCCTTCACGAACATGATGCGCTCGGCCTTCCTGACGGTGATGCGCACTGCGAGCTTTGTGCTCCTTGCGGCGCTGTGCGTGATCAGCGCGGCCAACCACCTTGCGCCGAGCGACGGCGGTGCGAGGGCGTACGCGGCTATCGTGCTGCTGCTGACCGCCGTGCTGCTTGCGATCACTGTGTACGGCGTCGTTGTGTGGTACGCGGAGGACCGCCACTGGCAGGAGCTGCGCGAGCCGCGGCGTGGTGGGCTGGAGGCACTGCTGCGCGATGACGAGGAGAGCGACGAGGATACGCGGAAGCCCCACGACATGACGTCATCGTCTTACGCCTCAGGCGCCACCGTTGCGTCGTCGTACCGACCACCCGCACAGCAGGAGCTCATGGCCGGTGACGCCCGCTCAGACGCACTGAGCCTGTTCGACCGTTCATCCAGTGCGAGCCGTATGATTGATCACGCCGCCATGTGACGTACACCACGTGGAATTAGTAAGTTTGAGGTGCTTGAGGGGCCACGGCTGTGCTGCACACCACAGCCATCCATCGTTAACCGCACCGAAAGTGTCGTTGTTCGTTGTTTCTATCGATTTGTTTTCATTTTGAGCGGGTGCTTTCAGGAGTTTTTCCCGTTCCACGATGAATGTGTGGAAGGGGATTGAGTTGTCGCTCTTGTTACTCCTGATGTTGTGTTGTATCGGACTGTAATTTCATGGAGTTGCGTGCGAGGACCTCAACGCTCATTTTGTGCAATGGAAGAAGGATTCAGCGAACCGCCTGGTGGAAGTAATGAATTGCAGCTCTGCTTTACCGCGGATTTGCATGCAGGAGGCATTACAGTCCTCAGAAGGAAAGCGGCGACAGAGTAGTGGCAGGGCTCCAGGTTTCCAGGAACGCCATTGAGCAGGATTATGTATTGAGGCGCGACGCATTGTCGTAATTCCGGCCTGCCATGGTGTGGCGAGTGCACAGGGTGATTGATGTCTCATTAGCAGCGGAAATGACGGACCAAACCATCCCAGTCACGTTCCACACTTATCCTCGAGCGCACCACCGCCATGGCAGGATCCCTCAGGTGCGCACGTGGAACGTGGGAGCCTTGGATGACGCGGCATTGGGATTTGTTGCCCGTTACGGCCCGCAACTTTTGTGTGTGCAGGAGGTGTGTGGTGTTAGCATGGAGAGTACGATATTCACCGGGACTTTTTACACGGTAGCGTGCATCTATGCACCTTCTCGTCGAACCGTGGAAGCACGCGAACACATGTCGACGGTTTTGGATCACCTGGTGACTCACATTGTGGACGTAACCTTTCGTCTTGCCCGCAGCACCGAGGAGCGCGCACACGGATGCAGCTCGTCCTTGGCCACTGCGGCGTATCCGAGAACGAAGCATGTGATGCATAGGCCAAGACGGCGTTCGACCTCGCACAGCTCACAGGCACATGGAGCACCGGCATCGTTTTCATTGGCCGAACATGTTATTTGTGTCCGACAGCTCAAGCCAGAGGCTCGCCGCTCCGCCGTAAGAGGCGACTGGGAACCCACGCGCACGGACTCCACTCTCACTCGTGGGGAAGAGGCTGCACTGGCCTGCCTCCGCACCGGAGTTTTGCACAAGTACTGATGGCTGCTACGACCACTGCAACCCGCCATCCCGAGAAAATGCCGTTGGTGCGGCACGGATGCCGCACAGCAGGCACGCCAAGAACTTTGCACGGAAACGCCTCCTCCTCCCGCTGGACCTCACCCCGCCACGATCCGACGCCCGGCAGACTGTCCGGTGTGCGGTAAGCACCGCAGCTGCCGCACTGGTGTCGTGACGCACATGGTTAACGCCCATGGCATTACGCGCCCTCTCAGGCGCTGCGGGAATTTGATTTTCCCGATGAGCCGGAGCCTCCAGAAATCCCACCGGAACCACCGCCCAGCACTTGAGCGAGGACGAGAGCGAGGGACGGCACACCGATCGCGCCTCCGCTGCAGACCGCACGGCCCAGGCCGAAGCCACTCCCATGCAGTTTCCGCACGGCGTCTTACGAAAAGCAAGTCGGAACCGTATCTCATCTTTGGCATTTCCACAAGCAAGAGTTCCCCCGAGAAATAGGAGGCGCTGCCAGGAATATAACGGTCTGACGGCATCTACACCGTTGGAATGCACGTACTGTGAATTCAGGGCTCAAGCGAAAACGGGACCGCTATTCCTTATGCGAGCACGCGAACACTCCAGCACAGAGCCACGGTCGGCACCGAAGAAGGAAGCACTTCATAAATGCCCTTGGTACGACAGGCAGGCGGGCAATGCCGGGGGATTGGCCACCCACACAAGGCACAGTCTCTCCGACGACGAGAATGTTACGAAGCTGAAAATGGAGATTAAATAACCACGCGCTGCAAGGCTCGAACCTCTGCATGAAGAACATCAAACCCACACAGAAACCCCGACTTTGCACAGGAGAATGCCACCGAGAAACAGTGCACCGTTTCCCTAAAATGGCATGCACACATGCGTTGATTAACGTCACGCTGTCGCCGATTTCACGACGGCAGAGGGCTCAGGCCGCCGAGAAGGCGCACGTTGCCCGGCGATGAAATCCCGCTGCGACCACCACCAGTTCATTTTCGCCGTTTAGCATGCGGGTTTCAGTGCCACAGCAATGCCTGACTGACCCGCTACCGCACGGCACGCCACGGATGATCGAGCCACCGCGCTATCCCCGGGGCGGGTGCGTAGCGGTGGTGTGTGCTTCACGGCCTCCGCTGCGGCTCCCACTTCGGGTGCCGGGGCTCTCTTTTACATCTCCGATCGTTGGGCGGACATGCTCTGCGATGGTGGCTGGCGTGTGGGTCTTCGTATTTATTTGAGCAGACACGAGGAATAATAACAATATATATATGAAAAGCGCTGAATAAATATTAGTACTGATATCTACATGCCTATCTATATAAATATGCAGCCAATAAAATAGCAATTCAATAAGTCAGGAAACCAAGCAATCTGTCAAATTGTAGAGAGAGAAGGGATATATCCATATCTATACACATGAAGCAATGAATAAGAATAAAGTATCTTTTTTATGCTCATACCCATATCGATATATCTACACATTGATCAAAGCTTATTTTCATATATATCCCCCCATATAATTTTTTTATCGCCTTTTTTATTTATGGCATTTTGCTTCCGCTATATTACGTATTCTTCTCCCATGAGTTCATGCTCACTTTTTTAGAGAGAATAGGCATTCCGTCCCACGGACAAGGTTTCATATGCACTGAAGCATCCCATCGGACAAAAGTTGCAAGGGGGTTTGCGAGGCCCATCCAAATTGAATGCTGATTGCTATCTTCTTTGATTTCCTGAAGAGGTGCAACGTGTGAGTGCGTTGCCCATGACACCCAACACAATGACAACTTTCAACGAGCAGTTTGCAGGCACATTGTGCAGTTTTCTTGAGGTGTAGCCCACACCTGTATTTTGGGAGTTAATGCACGGTGTATCTGTAGGGGATGCTGAGGGTGGCGTCAGCGAGGCATGGGACAACATGTACTCCGGAACAGGTGTGTGGCGTTGGCCAGAGGAGGTCCTGTGCCAACGGCATCACCGATTGATGGCCATTGATTTTGGGGCTTTGAGCTTCGGTGCTTTGAGGACTGGAGCGACGCTGGCTGACCAGGTGCCACTCGCCATCTGATATCTCCTGGATATGGCTTAAGAGACGATGCGGACGCATGCAGAGGTGGGAAAGGAAGTAGGACGTTGTGTGGACATGCACGTGGACGTGTCAGATGGTCACGATATCCCTCAATAAGTGTGGAGCCCCCGACTTGATGATTCGGCCGTCCTGATAAAACTGTCTGGGGTGGAGGTGAGTGCGCTGACTTCCGTTTCACCGAATTTTCCTTCATCTGACAGGCTGCGCGGCTGACGTGGAGGGACACCATGCGCACCTGTTTCCGGCGGGTGCGTTGCCGTTTCCCACATTTGAGGGCGACTTTCCCGATGATGCACTCTGCCAGCCTCACTTGTTTTATCTGACGACACGTCGCAACGCGGGGTTGGTGCTGAGCGACGAAGGCCTTCCGTCTCGGTTGGAACCAAAACGGAGAGCCCATGAAAAGACATGCTGCTCGCGACTGGTTTATGCTTGGCCTGGGAGGAGTCTGATTGCCGCCGTGGAGCATCTCTCATTCGCTTGATTGCAGGGTCCTCCACACATTGCACAGGCCTCGTGCTCCTGAGTAATGCCGATGGGGCGGATTGCATGATGGTGTTTCATTGCTGGAAGGCTCTGTGAGGAGGAAAAATATTATTTATTTTTTCTTCTTCCTGGACGAGACGAATCCGTTCTTTGATTGAAGTACGAGTGCCTTGTTGCAGTTCTTGTTGGCCGCTGGTGGCTTTGGTGTTTGTTCCAATCAATGGCTCTCACTGGCGGCTCCAAGGCCTAATAGCGACTGGTGTCGTCGTTCTTGGTCCCACGTTGCTTGACCCAACAATTATTTGTGCAACTGGACAACAGGTTCTCTGTGGCTGTGGATCATGTTTTGCAGAATATGATCCCAACGGCTGCTGACCGTGCTGGTGGTTGTTGCGTCCTGTATGACTCTGACGATGTTCTTGCGGATTTCACTCTGTTGCGTGTAAGTGATGTTACATCTGTGCCTCGTCGTGTGGCAGAGGCCTGAACCAACGGAGGGTAGAGTGTTGTGATGAAACGCAGCACCGACAACCCTTATGTTGCTCATCGTTATGCTCGTTTTCACTGCGGTCCTCGACGTGGGAAAATTTTATTTTGTGCGGCATGGAGAGCACTCATCCGGTGGAATATTGCCGTCTGGTGGTCTCTGTTTCAAAGCACCCTGTGGAATAGTTTGTGAGGGCGAAGGGTGATGGCAGGGCTGTCGTGCCCGCACAGACGGAGACGAGAACAGGCTGGTTGATGTGCCCTGCAACACTGCGCGCTCGATTGCGTCATTGGATGCGTGCAGAGCAGGTGGCTCTCCGGTGTCTGTTGGCTTCACGGCCAACCCGCTGGTCCCTTCTGAAGGGCATTCAAGAGCATTTGTCCTCTGAGGGTGTTTCTGCTGTGTGGTCCGCACACTGCAGTGTCCGCTCCATTGAGCCTTTTCTTTGGTGAGAGGATGGTCTGTTGCACTTCTTGGACCCCTGTGGAGGGGGAGGGTCATGGGGCAAGATGCCCACCGTTTCGGTGTTGGCGCACCACGTGCATGCAGCCGCGTTACGCAGGAGGCATAGTTCTCCGTTGCAGGATGAAAGCGACGTAATATTGTCCCTTGCCAGCAATGAACGGTCATCTTGTTATGTTGTTCAAGCGTTTCTGCCGGATGACGAGTTTGCAAATGGTTACGAGGGATGTGTGGCTGCAGAGTTTGAGCGCCGTTGGTTTTTTCTGACGGACGGTGTTAAGGAATTACAGGCTCTTGCAGATGTCATCGCCGGTGTGAACGCAGGTGTTTCAGCCACCCGAAGCGTGGCTGTTGGGAAGACGAGTTTCACTTTTGCAGCTGAGGCAGGCATCAACGAGGCGAATGTGCGGGCCCACCACCCTACTTTCTGTACTGTTTTGTCGCGACGACTGGATCTGATCGCCAGCCACATTGAGCCGTCGCCATGTGGCCGCAACGTTGCCTCGAAGCGGTCGAGAGGCCGCAGGGCACGGCATTTGCATTCATCCGTGGAAGTGTCACGGGGGAGGAAATGCGAGCCTTTCGGCATCTGTCATCTCGCTGCCTTTTGACGCCATATTTGGTGAGTCCGTGGGTACTGTCTGGTGCTTCTGCCTTTTACTGGATGATTGGAGCTGCTGAGATGTGGAGGGTATTTGCTGCACCTTCTTTCAGTATCTTTGTCGCACGCCGTGTTCGAGACGGTTGTCGATTGCCGCATTGCATGGGGTGCTGCAAGGCGATACTTTATGCCACGCGATTGTGTTGTGGGTGCCATGCGGTGGAAATATTTGACGTCGCTGAGGTGCCCTTGGAGGGTGGGGTGGCGATCCTCCGGCGTAGGTGATCACTGACAGTTTCACACGCCCCTTTGAATTTGCTGTCCCTTCTTTGTACTTTCATGAACTGACCGCGGATATTGCAGAATATATTCAGGTTGCTGCGGTGCTCCATACATTCAAGGTGTTGTCCTCCGCGCCGTCAACCTCGGCAGCTGACCGACCGCTCTCTTTGAAGGATTCGGGGGAGGATTCGTTCAATTTGTTTTGCGGCTGGAGTCACTTCCTCCATTTCTGTCAGTTAGACACGCCCACACCGTTACTTTGCGCCCTCCTCCCTCAGGGGGAGGAATGGGTGACGAAGGAATTCGAGAGACAGTGGCACTTTTTGTTGCATCGCTGAGTGATCGTTCAGCGGCAGTTGATGCATCAGCCCTTCCTGAGGGTCGGCGACACAAACTCTGTGGCCGAGACTATTTGGATGGGAGTTCACGGGGGCAAATTATGCGCGCTATACTTCCGTGCTTATGCCGATGGAATGCAACTATTTGCTCTTTCCTGTGATGCCTCGTGTGTGCCATGAAACTTCATTAAGGAGAGCAAGAGGCGCTATTGTCCGTGTTATTTCGTTAGGCACCACGACTCTTTTCGGTTTTGTGATTCGACTGTGTGGTGAGTCTGTTGAGGGGAGGACGTGGATGGACCGCGCTCACCCGACCGCTGCGCCTCATTTTTCTGAACGCCCTGACCAAATTGCTGTTCCCTTTTGCTTGCCTTACCGGGCCTGGCGACCTCTTGAGGAGCGGTGCGACGGCGTGGACTGTCAGGCTGCTGAGGAGGCCGTGGCTGCGCGGGATGTCCTGCGGTATTTTTTTTTGCGTTCCGGGACTACTGTAGAGAGGAGGACATTTCATGCCTCCTCCACGTCCACGAGAGTAGATGGAGGGATCGCGGTTGTGGGATCTCACTTCACGAGTGTCTGCGCTCGCTGATCGCGTCGACGGTGCACTCTGTGTGTCTTCGACCACTGCCGACGTATCTCGCCGTGTTTCTTCCGGTGAACGGGAAAATCCACCGACACGCCGAGTGGGTTGTGAGGGTGTTGCAGCGAGGAACGCTTTAAAGGTTCTACAGTTACGGTGCGCTGCTTGCAATGACCCCGCAGCACTTTGGATTTTGCTCGCCTTTAATTTCTTCTGGCTGTCTGTTGGTTGGTGCCGTTTGCCGGAGGGCATCTTGGCCCGTACGCAAAAGTCAGTGTCTATGCTCCTGCGTGCGGCCTCAGTGCCTGAGCCGTTCTGGAAGGTGAGATTAATTACTGTAGCGGTTACGGCGACGCTGGTGTGTTACACTGCAGATGGTGGCGCCACCCACTCACCTGCCACGTCCTGTTTTGGCGATTTTTAAACTTTAATTTTATTTCTAGCAAACAAACGCACTCAGGCTAGGAAGGAAGTTACGACTAGGCGCTAACCCTGGCTCAGCCGGCCACCTCAACGTGGTGCCAGGGTCTAGTACTCTTTGCTAGAGAGGAAGCTAAGCGCCTGCTGTTCATGCTTCAAACCTGATGAGTAGTTGTTACTTAGTTTTACGGGCCGGAAGGGCAGATGTTGGAGCCATTCTATAGTGGCTGCCCGCGGAGTAAGGTTATCCTTGCCACTGAATTCCTTCGTACGCTTACCAGAGCTGCACAATTGAGGTGTAGTTACTACTACTGGTAAGAGAAAAAACAAAAACAAAAACAAACTTGTCTCTCCTCTTTGCTTTCACTCTGCGTTGACGGGGAGTTGGTTTGTGCTGAAGGCCACACGCAAGTGACAGGAGTGATGGCGATGATGGCTGGCCGTGTGCTGCTGGTGTGTGCCCTCTGCGTGCTGTGGTGCGTTGCTGCCGATGGTGATGTTGTTGGTCCCGTAACTTCCGGCGATTCTGGTGGTGGTGGGCAATCTCCTCTCGCAGATGGGAGTCATGGTGGCAGTGAATGTTCAAAGGCTGATATTTCTCATGAAAGTAAAAGTGAACCTTTGGTTGCTGCTTCCGGGGAAGAATCACCAGCTATTCATCTTGATCCGAATGGGGCTTCAAGTCTCTCTGAGGAACATTTACGCCCGGAAAAAAAGGAACCTCCAAAGGAAAACGGGAAGAGTCACAATCACCGCCTCAAGATGCATCGCCGACTGAAGTGAATCCAGAAGAAGCAATTGATTCCCTTCCGCAAGAACGGTTACTCGGCACACCAGAAAAAGAGGTTATCACTAATGGCGGTGGCGGTGGAACTGCGAACGGGAGAAAGGAGGATACCGACCAGAATGCCGGGTTGTCCCCTAACAACAGCGATCCCACGGCATTGATAGAACCAGAAGTCAAACAAGTATTAACACCAGAACCAATAAAAACAAAGCTATCACCAGCGATGACCGTTTCAGCAGAGGAAACAAACTCACCAGCATTAACAGGCTCGCAGAATGCAACTGAGACAAAAAGCACGACGTCACCGTCACACGCTGAAACGGCGCCTGAAGCACCGGAAAAACCTTCAGGGAATGGTGAGCCAAACCAAAACAGAGAAGAAACGGACACACCAGATTCGATGAACGATGCAACTACAAGTCATCCAGCAGAAACAACAGCAACATCCATATCCACAAGTGGGAATGGTGGAGCCCAGAAAAATGAGAACAAGGTTGGTAACAGTGATCAACGGTCTAACAGCAAAGAACCACAAGACGGGCTTGAAGATAGACATACCGACGATGCTCCCACAGCCAGTGAGACGGAACCAGAAACAGCAAAAACAGCCACTACTCAAAAGAATGTTACATCTAAGCCTGGCGACAGTGACGGCGGCACCGCTGTCTCCCACACCACCTCCCCCCTTTTGCTTCTTCTTCTTGTTGTTGCGTGTGCGGCTGCTGCTGCGGTTGTGGCTGTGCGTGCATGAAGTGGTGTGCGCTGAATATGGACGAAGGCAAATAAGTTGCTTTGTGATGAATATTGGCTTTACTTCCCGTGGACCAACAATCCACGTGGTGTGCGGGGATCATTCCTTTTTTATTGTTACTTTGCTTTTGCGTTGCTGTGTGCGCTGCACCTCCTCTTGTGTGTGTGCGTATCCTCCGTGAGGGGTGCAGGCACGACGGACCGCTCTCGCCGTATGTGCATGCGGTGGAGCCTTGTGTGCCGCTCCTGTTTGCTTCTCCCTCCTCCATCTGTGTGTTGGTGCTGCGGCAGGGCTGTGTGTGTGTGCGTGTTGCCGTGGATTGGAGTGTGTGTCGTGCGTGGTGTGCGGCGTACGGTGCATGCCTGGCTGCTGCCCTCTCCTCATGTGGTGTGCCCTCTGTGTGTGTCTGCTGCACCTCTCGTCTCCCCTGTTGCTCTCCATGTCCCTCACTGTGCATATCAGCTCCACACCACTGAACGACCACACTCACGATGATGACGTGCCGTCTGCTGTGCGCCCTGTTGGTGCTCGCCCTGTGCTGCTGCCCGTTAGTGTGTATGACAAATACTGATGACGGCAATCGGGATCCGAAGAATGGCGCTGATGAAGGAGGCGCTAATCAATTGCCTTCTTCACCTGGAGGACCGCCAGTGAAGAGTGAGCAAGCGGATCCATTGCCTGGGCTCGGTGTGGAATTGGTAAAAAATACTGATGGAGTGGGACAAGGTCCGTCAGTTACAAATCCGGAAACGATTGCTGGAGATAGAGGAAGTACGATCGGTCTGGGATCCCAATCAAGTGCCGCGCTCGAAAAGGTAAACAGCGAAAGTAAGAACGGTAATACATGGCCACAAAGCTACAAGAGTCCATTGTCGCCTGCACCAGTGACTAAGCCGGCTGACGTTTCTGCCCAGGCAACCACGACCACTACAACACAGGCACCAACAACAACGACCACGACCACCACTGCGCCAGAGGCACCAAGTACTACGAGTACAGAGGCGCCAACCACGACGACCACTCGCGCACCGTCACGTCTTCGCGAAATGGACGGCAGCCTCAGCAGCTCTGCGTGGGTGTGTGCCCCACTGCTGCCCGCAGTATCCGCGCTGGCGTACACCGCTGTGGGCTGAAGAGGTGTGTGCGGGCTGTGCGTGCCAGCACTCAGCCACGGGGACATGTGTACGTCTACCGTGGTCCGATGTAAAAAGTAAGAGCAATTATGATGATCGTGTTTTGCTTCATTTGCTTCCGCTGCCGTGCTATGTGCTCCTTGCCGCTCCCCGCATCCGTCACGTTGAACGCATCCCAGACACACTCATATGCACGACAGGCACACAACTGTTTGCGTGGAGTCACATTTGAGGATGGGTGCATGCGCGCTGGACCCATACTGTGCAGCTCTTTTTTGTGTGTTTTTTTACATTTTTTACTTTATTGCTGTGCGTTTACCTCTGTGTTTTGTTTTTAATTGCTTTGTGTGTTTTTTCTGTTTACTTGCTGCGGGGCGTTGTGTGTTTTTGACCTTTCACTGTTTTCAAATGCCTTATGGTATGTGCGCTGCTGCTGCTGAGCTGCTGCCATTTGTGACTTTGCGGTGGCTGTGCGTGGTGTAGCGGCCGTGTCTTCTTTTGCTTTCACTCTGCGTTGACGTGTTGTTAGTTTGTGCTGAAGGCTACACGCAAGTGACAGGAGTGATGGCGATGATGATGACCGGCCGTGTGCTGCTGGTGTGTGCCCTCTGCGTGCTGTGGTGCGGTGTATGTACGGTAGCGGCGGCCGATACTGGCGGTGTCGAAATGGAAAGGGCAGAAGGATCCGAGAGTTTACCCTCTGGACCTTCCGACGGTGATGGAGGGAAACAGGAATCGGAGGGTTCAGTCCGCCAAGTGTCCGACACCGCAAATGAATCGTTGGTGGCAGTAGATGGAAAGAATTCTAAACAGCAGGATGGTGTGGTCATAACAACACCAACAAAACCTGAGAGGACGAGCGGAGGAACGGAAACAGAAGAAATTAAACGTAAAGAACAAAAAGAGAACCCTGAAATTCCAAATAAAGATGACAAGACAACGCAATTAACATCGAGACCAAAAGAAGAAGAAGAACCGTCCGCTGAACGAGGAAAAGCACAAGGAGCTGCCCTACCAGGAGCATCACCAGGAGTACCATCACGAGCACAAAATGGGAACTCAGCAGAAGATTTAACCGCAACACCAGGGGAAGAAAGAGCCCTTCTTGAAGATCATTCCGACCAGCCACAAGGAGGCAAAACTCCAGCAGACGGATTGGCAGCAGAAATGCCATCAAGGGAAAAAGGGGAAGCCCGAGACGCAATACCATCACCACCTGCAAAAAATGAAAAAACAGAAGGAGGTTTAAGGGCAACAACAAATACTGAAAAAAACAACCTTGAGAATGCCGCTTCCGTGCAAAAAACAGAAATTCTCCTGGACGACGAGGAGGCAACAAGCAATCAACGAAATGAAGGCCTTGCATCCACCACCGGCAACCAAGAGGGTGAACCATCGGACGTTCATGCCGAATTGACACCACCAACAATCTCAGCTGCCAGTAATGCTGCCAATGAAGACGCTGACACGGATACTGATAAAGGGATTCTGAATAATGATTTAGCCGCTGGTGGTGGAGCGACCGAAGGAGCACAACAAGATGAAAAAAAAGAAAGAGCGGAAGAAACAACACCACTCAAATCTGTCGCTATGATAAATGAAACAGCAACGGTTGGCGACAGTGACAGCAGCACCGCTGTCTCCCACACCACCTCCCCTCTTTTGCTTCTTCTTGTTGTTGCGTGTGCGGCTGCGGCTGCGGTGGTGGCCGCGTGAGAGTGAGTGTGAGAGAGCCGTGCACCGCCCGCACACACACTCGTCCTTCTCTCTCTGTGTGTGTGTCCCCTTGCATGGACTCTCGCCCTCACCTCACCCCACGAGGCACACACAATAATGTGCCCATTGTATATATGCATGCACACCCATGCAGGCCCGTTGGTGCTCTCTTTTGCACGACACGCACCGCTGCCGTCCTGCCTGGCTGCATGGACGGAGCACCGTAACTGTTTCTGTTTTGTTTTTATTGCATTGAGTGGGCGACCTCTCTCTCTCCCTCTGTGTGTGTGTTTTGCTTTACGGGAGTAATGAGAGTGTGTGTGCGCTGGTCGTCCCACGCTTCGGCTTTTTGTTTTGTTTTCCTTTTTGATTTTGTGGTTGAGTGCACCCATTCCGCGGCTGCGTGTGTGTGTGTGTGTGATGATATGAGTAATTTGCGTGTGTGCTATCTGCCTCTCTCTGCCGTTGCTTTCTTCGGACTCTCTTGTGGCGCACAGCTGCTCTGCAAGTATAGGCGCTGCCAAACACACAAGCACATGCACACACACATGCCGTGTTTAAAACGCTGAGAATGCACGCACGCACAGGATTGTGGCTGCGGAGGTTGTTCCTTGCGAGGAGGGAGTACGGGAGTATGCGATTTGCTTCGTTGACATGTTGCTGTTGTTATGTTTGCGGCGTGCGGCCAGTGAGTGGTGTGGCAGTGGGGGTGCCTGGGATGAGTGCGGATTGATTCCCGCTTTGCAGCTGTAACTGCAGACGTTTCTTTCCCACTGTGGATCTGTTGATGAGGTATTCTCCGGCTGTGCGGGGTGATGTGCGAGTGCTTTGGAGGAGACAGCTGTAAAAGGGCTTGTGGCAGCGCGTCGGTGCTGCGAAGGGCGGCTGTGTTTTTTTATCCTGCTGTTTTTTCTTTTTGTAAGGGCGTTGTTCAGTGTGTGCTGACGCGTGACGAATAACAAGATACCCGCCGTGACCCCTGCTGGTGGTGGCAGTCCCTGTGTGTTCCCGGTGCACTGTTCCTTCTTCTCCTGTTCCGTGTGTCTGTGTGCGTGAGTTGTTGTTGTTGGGAGCGACTGCAGTGCGGATGATGATGCCACTCACTGTGCATGGGTGACGGTGTTCATTGTTGTACCTCTTTTTATTTTTCTTTTTCCTTTATTTCTTTCTCAATCACACTCAGGCTAGGAAAGCAAACAAGCGCTAATCGCTACTGTGAAATTCGAAGGCACTGAAAGGACCAACAGCACACACACCGCCCACACACACATATTTATATGGTCTCACGTGTTGCTGCAGTGAAGGCACCCCGCACACACAACCATCGCCGTGTGACCGGATCCAGCGGAAGGAGGAGGGAAGGAGGAGAGAGTGAGCCGCAGAGGCCCAACATGTCCCGGCGTGTGTTTACTTCCGCGGTGCTGCTGCTCCTCGTCGTGATGATGTGCTGCGGCGGTGGTGCTGCATCCAGTCAGGACATGCCGTCGTCAAGTCAGGGAGCTTCGTCGGAGAAATATTACGTTTGGACGGAGAAGAAAGGGGGTGAAACTGTGGGTTTGCTCCGTGTTCCCGGTCTTGTTGAGATGAATGGCGAAGTATTTGCCGTTGCCGAGGCGCAGTTGAAGGGTGAAAGCGATTTTAATGGGATTGCCTCGGAGCTCTTGACGTTAACTGGCCAGGAATCAAAAGAATTGGTTAAAGCTCAAGTGGAGACACAAGTGCTGGTGGAATGTTCTCCCGACAAAAAGAATTGTGCCTCCCATTCAGAAGTTTCGGCTGGCTCTCAGAGTGAGAAGAGAGTACATGTGAGCCGACCAACAACAGTTGTGAAGGGAAGTGATATTTACATGCTTGTTGGGAAATACAGCCGGACAGCTGCCGCTTGTGGTGCTCCGGGGAGTCGTGCAGGTGTCTCTGGACTTTTGCTAGTGAAAGGGGAAGTCAGTGATGAGGAAAGTGGCAGTGAAAAAAGAATCCAATGGAATGAGAACCAGCGACTGACCGGCACCTTTTCTGATGATGAACACAAATGCTTGACGCAGCTGATAGGCGGTGGTGGATCGGGCATTAAGACTAATGACGGTACTTTTTTGTTTCCAGTGGAAGCTAGAAAGAAGCAGAACGAGGACGGAAACACAAAGACTGTTTCACTGATCCTATACTCGAAGGATACTAATACGAATTGGAAGCTGTCGAATTGGATGTCTGACGGTGGCTGCGGTGATCCCTCCGTCGTGGAGTGGAAGGACAAACTCATGATGATGACTGCGTGTGATGATGGCCGCCGTAGGGTGTACGAGTCCGCTGACAAGGGGGATTCGTGGACGGAGGCACTCGGGACGCTCTCGCGCGTGTGGGGCAACAAACAAAAGGGAAATGTGAAGGGCGTTGGAAGCGGGTTCATCACAGCGAGGATTGAGAACAGGGACGTGATGCTCGTCACTCTGCCGGTGTACGCCAAAAAAGAAGAAAAGGAAAGTGTGGAAAAGGGTGAACTCCATCTTTGGCTGACGGACAATACGCACATTGTTGATATTGGGCCGGTATCTGTGGAAGGAGACGATGTTGCCGCCAGCTCCCTGTTGTACAAAAGCGGAGATAATAATGAGTTGATTGCACTGTACGAGAAGGAGGGCGATGGGGATACACCATCACTCGGTATGGTCTCTGTGCGTCTGACTGAGCAGCTGGAGAAGGTAAAGGAAGTGTTGAAGACCTGGAAGAAAGTGGACGAACGTGTCTCCCAGCTGTGCCCTTCAACTGCTGCGAAGGTTGCATTACCTCAAAATGTCTGCAGCGCTGGTAAGATCACGGCTGGGCTGGTTGGCTTTTTGTCTGGCAGCTTTTCCGAGAGCACATGGAGGGACGAGTACCTCGGGGTGAACGCCACAGTAAAGGGTGGTGCAGCAAAGGCAAAGACTTCCGATGGAGTGACGTTCCATGGAGCGTGGGCGGAGTGGCCCGTTGGCGCGCAGGGGGAGAATCAGCTGTACCACTTTGCGAACTACAACTTTACTCTTGTGGCGACGGTGTCCATCGACGGTGTGCCGAAGGGAGATACTCCCATTCCTTTGATGGGTGTGAACATGAAGGGTGAACAAGGGAAATTTTTTGGGTTGTCGTACGAGAAAGAAAGGAAGTGGATGTTACTGTGCGGTGACGGAACAACTAATTCTGGGGAACTCAGCAGCACTGGGGAACCGGGGACAAAACGCCACGTGGTAATTTTGCTACGGAACGGCACCCAGGGCTCCGTGTACGTCGATGGTCAGCGTGTCGGAGATGCGTCATGTGAATTGGGAGAAGCAGAATCGAAAGGGATCTCACACTTCCACATTGGAGGGGATGGAGACAAGACACGGGAACAAGAAGGCGTGCCTGTGACGGTGACGAACGTCCTGCTGTACAACCGCCCGTTGAGTTCCGCGGAGATGACTGCGCATAACACAATTAAACTTTCTATTTCGCAAACAGCGAAAGAAGGAGAAACGGATGAAGGTACCGCCCTTGACGGTGGAGCACACGGTGATGCCAGCAATCATTGCGGAAGCGGACTGCTGCCATCGCTGCTTCTTCTGTTGGGACTGTGGTGGTTTGCGTCTCTGTGAGGCGTGACTGGCAGCCGCGTGGGACACCTGCGACCTCCCCAGCAGCGACACACACACCTGGTAATGAACTTCTCTCTTTAAATAACTTTTATTAACTCTTCTCCTTCTCTGCTTTGCTGTGTGATTTTAATTTATTTGCCTTTTTTTCTTTGTTGTGCGATTGGGCGTCTTTTCTTTTTAAGAATTCTTTTCTGTTTCTATCTCTAATCCATCATCCCCCCAACACTTTTTATGCGTTTGGGGCAATCACTATGGACGTTTTTCTTTTCTACTCTTCCCTCTTTCAATTGTTTCTTCCGCACTCTTCCTGTGAGGGGTGCCGTGTGTTTGCCACCCAACTGCTCCACTCGCACACCACCGACACGCTCATGACGACGGCCCTGTGCGCCTCGCCTGCTGCACGCATGAGGAGGGGCGGCGACGAACGGCGCGCTGAGGGAGCCGTGACGTGTGGGCGTGCGACGAGGGCCTGTGGGGCGGAGCACACATTTCTTTCCCTCTTGTTTTGTTTTCTTGCGGCCAGGGCTGGCAGACACCCGCAGCGCCACACACACAGCCACGCCCTGCCGCCGTGTTTTTCATTTCTTTTCGTGTTCATTTCACGCGCTGGCAGTCCCGTCAGCATTTCTTTCTCTCCTGATGATTTTTTTCTTTTGCTGCGCTCACTCTCCCGATGGAGTGACGCGACTCCCGTCGTGTCTGCGTGCTTCTCTCAGTCCCCCCACACACGAGTGACTGTGCTCTGCGGGCCGCACTCACACGCCGATGAGAGGGCTGAGGGGAGCAGCAACACGCAGATGACAGCATGAAATATAAACGATGTGCGGACACACGGAGGTCAGACGGTTGAAAGACATTTAAATATCTTTTCAATTTTCTTTTGCGGGCAAAATATGTACAGACAGTTTGGTGTGGCCACACGGCAAGCAGTTGTTTAAATGTTATTTGTGTGGAACAGTAATGGACGATTTCTTTTTCATTTATAATTATTTTGTGTGATTGGGTTTATATAAGACGAGGGGGAAGTTTGTTTTTTATTTTAAATAAATATTGTGTGAATTGCCATTGCTTGGGCTGCACTGCAGTCATGAGTTTCAGCGGTCTTCTTCTTGTTGTTTCCGTTATGCATCTCCGCTGTACATTTTTGTGCGTCCCTCACATGCTCTGCTCCCTCTTTTCTACTTCCTTGCTTTGTGTTTCTGCAGGCACACAACAACAACAACACACAAGATGCACATTGCAGTGGATTTGGATGCTTCTTTTGCAGTGCATGCTGGCAGTTGCGTGTGGCTGTTGTCTTCTTCCGTGGCCGTGAGAAGAAGGGAGGAGGGAGTGCAGTCCGAGTCCCTTTCCTGCGGGTGTGGTGCAGCGCGTGTGGATGCGTTGAGTTGGGCTCCGTGTCCCATTGAGGGCGGGATGGCAGGAAATTTGCTGCCGCGTGATGGATGGATGAGGGTGCACTGGCGCGTGTGGCTGTTGTGGTGGGTGCTCGCTCTGTGTGTGTGACGGCTGCTGGGAGTCCTGAAGATGTATCTGGTGATGCGGATGCGGTGGTTGTGCCGGTGGATGTGTCGTGTGCTCCGAGTGACGGCAGCCTGAGCTATCGCGTGTGTGTGCGTGGAAGAAGTGTTCTGCTGCCAGTGCCGAGGCTCAGTGTGAGAATTATACTTTCAGTGGCTTTGATGTGCGCATGCATGGCAGGAATGGTGAGCTGGGTGCTGTGTGCCATGTGGCCAGTGCGGTGCACACGTGTGGCAACTGTGCTGCCAGCTGTGCAACGAAGGAGGAAGGGGCCACCGCTGCCTTCACGATGAATGTGACGAGACATAAATACGCCGGCCCTTATGAATTGTGGCGGCGTCAATTCTCCCCGATGGAACCATCCATCCGCCTGCACGGAGCAGCGATGCTGACCAGACGGGCATCTGTCAGTTGCCGCCACCCCGTGAAGGGAAGGATGACACGAAATCTGGTGGGACAACTGCACCGCAAGTTAATGCTGAGCCGTCACGTCAGAACGAGGATTGACGACAGTCTGCGGCGGCTGACGCACCCAACACCGTCGATCGGAGTCCCGCATCCAACACGGCGACCAACACGCCTAAGAAAAAGCCTGAGTTTGCCAGCAATCCGAACGAAATGATGGTCCCGAAAGCATCCAAGAAGAGGCCTTCCTTTGCCAACGGTCCGAGAATATTAGTGGCGTCGAATGCATCCGGGATCATGTCTGTCACTTGTGGCGGCAGGGAACACGTTGCTGCGGATAGCACGGACGAGGTGAATGAGCACGACGCCACCGGACACAAATCTCTCGTTTTAGAAAATGGCGTTGCAGGCAGTGGATTTGTTGCTGAGGGTGATGCGGGCGGATTGACTCAACGCAATGCCTCTGGACACGAAAACCCCAATTACGAGAATTCACCGCGCAGTATTCCGGGAACGGTGTGAGTCCCGACGACTGCTTTGCCCTGCGCAACGACGCGAAATTGACACTGCGTGAGTTAACTGCTGACGGCACTGTGCGTGTGTGTGTGTGTTGGGAGTGGCTGCTTCTTTTGGGATTGTGTGGATTTGCGACTCAGCACGGAGGACATGTGCCGCGTTTCCTGCGTGTTTTCTTTTATTATTTACATTTTATTGTTGTTTTTCGTTGTTCTCCTGGAATAATGAGCGTCCTTTATTATTTCATGGTCGGTTGCTGCACACCGTCATGAGTGACATGTTTCCCCCTCTTTTTGTTTGTTGCCCACACGCGGTGCCGGCGCTGCGGCTGTGCGTCCCACGGACTGCGCGAAACGATGAGTGGAATAACACGCCGGATGCCGCATGAAATGTGAGGGATGTTGTGTGGGCTCATGGAACGATACGTTTTTTAAAGTTTTATTTCTTGGTGCGGGCAATATATGTATGCACAACCACACGATCCTCTTCTGTGCTGCATGGCACATGAAATAAAAGTATGTCCGA